AAGTCTTTCCTCTGAGGAGCTTTTTCACGCAAACGTCTTGGAGCTTTTACACACAAAAGTTGTTACACAAAGAAGTCTTTACACAGAGAGCTTTAACACACAGACGCGTTTACACACAGAAACTTTTACACAGAGAAGCCTTTACACAGAGAGTTTTTATACACGGAAGCTTTTACACAGAGAGAAATCTTTACAAAGACGTGCTTTCACACAGAGAAGCGTTTACACAAAAAAGTCTTTACACAAAGTGGTTTTTACACACAGAAACTTTTACACGCAAAAGCTTTTACACAGAGAAGTCTTTGCACAGAGGCGCCTTTACACGAAGTAACAAGTTGAAATCGGCAGCAGTTCTTTAGGAAAAACCCTTCGCAGGAGCTTTCGGGAACTCACTTGCTCCCCAAAAAATCGTCTATTCCAACAAATATGTTCCAAAAAACCTAAGGAATTTATTTCTGAAGCAGGTCCTCATTCAGTAACTTTCACGCCCACACTGCGATGAAATGGAGGGCCGAGTGGTCCGGCGGAGCCGACGAGGGGCGTCAGCCCAAAAATTCGGCTCCGCCGGCTCCCCACGAGTGGCTTGCCCTACGAGCGTCCCAGAGCGACTAGAGCTCTATGGTGAGGTGCGCCCCAAGCCGCCGACCCTCCGACGCCGGGCCCCGAAAACCACCAAAAATCCTTCAGGAGGGTGGGGGAGAGCTTTTTGGCCGGAATCCGGGTCGCTCATAAGCGTCTCCAAGAGCAAAAGGCCCCCCCCCCCGATTTTGAGGGTACCTAAAATCGGAAAAAAGTGCCGTTTTGACACATTTTTCGGACGATTTTCAGCTTTTCGAAATTTTTCGAAAGGCACAAAATGCTGTAAATTACAGCATTTTTGCGTTTTAACGTCTTTTGCGGGAGCCATGCAAAAACGCAGAAAATGCTGTAAATACCAATACTTTTTGGACCCAAGATGCACAAAACACCGCAAATACCAGTGTTTTTGAAAGCCAAGCAAAAAAACACTGTAAATTACAGCATTTTTGGCGGGTTGATCGCAAAAAATGCTGGTATTTACACGGTTTTTGCAATTTCAAGAAAACGTGGAAGGCACGAAACACTGTAAATAGCGGTGTTTTGGCCACTTTTGGACGCCGAAACGCTGGTATTTACGCATGTTTTTGCCCGTGACGGCACCAAACCCCTGTAAATTACAGCATTTTCTTCCCTTTTTGAACCGATTTTTTGCGTTGATGAACGCAAAAAACGCTGGTATTTACGCGTTTTTCAAAAAATCGAAGATCGTGACGTGAACGAAACCCTGTAAATAACCGTGTTTTAGCCACTTTTGGGGACTAAAACTGCGGTATTTACGCGGGTTCTTGCCATCTGACAGCGCAAAATGCTGTAAATTACAGCACTCTGTGCCCTGTTTATGTTCAATTTTTTAACCTGCGATGCTTTCACCTGTTCTTTGCATTCTTCCACAAGAAACAATGTTGCAGATTGAAACTGGACGACAGCGTGACCCGAAAGAAAGCTGGATGGAGGAGTCGCACAGAAGCTTTTACACATACAGGTGCTTTTACAGCTTTTACACAGAGAAGTCCTTACACAAAGGAGCTTTTTACACACAGAAGGCTTTACACAGAGAAGTCTTTACTCTAAGGAGCTTTTGCACACAAACGTCTAGGAGCCTTTACACAGAAGCTGTTACACAAAGAAGTCTTTACACAGAGGGCTTTTTACACACAGACGCGTTTGCACACAGAAGCTTTTACACAGAGAAGCCTTCACACAGAGGAGCTTTTACACACAAAAGCATTTACACACAGCAAGCTTTTACACACACAGGGGCTTTTACACAGAGAAGTCCTTACACAAAGGAGCTTTTTACACACAGAAGGTTTTACACAGAGAAGTCTTTACTCCAAGGAGCTTTTGCACACAAACGTCTAGGAGCTTTTTCACACAGAACTTTTTACACGAAGAAGGCCTGACAGAGAGAGTTTTTACACACAGACGCGTTTGCACACAGAAGCTTTTACACAGAGAAGCCTTTACACAGAGGAGCTTTTACACACAAAAGCATTTGCACACAGCAAGCTTTTACACACACAGGGGCTTTTACACAGAGAAGTCCTTACACAAAGGAGCTTTTTACACACAGAAGGTTTTACACAGAGAAGTCTTTACTCTAAGACTCTAAGGAGCTTTTGCACACAAACGTTCTTAGGAGCTTTTTCACACAGAACTTTTTACACGAAGAAGGCCTGACAGAGAGAGTTTTTACACACAGACGCGTTTGAAAATAGAAGCTTTTACACAGAGAAGCCTTTGCACAAAGGAGCTTTTTACACACAGAAGGTTTTACACAGAGAAGCCTTTACTCTAAGGAGCTTTTGCACACAAACGTCTAGGAGCCTTTACACACAGAAGCTGTTACACAAAGAAGTCTTTACACAGAGGGCTTTTTACACACAGACGCGTTTGCACACAGAAGCTTTTACACAGAGAAGCCTTCACACAGAGGGGCTTTTACACACAAAAGCATTTACACACAGCAAGCTTTTACACACACACAGGGGCTTTTACACAGAGAAGTCCTTACACAAAGGAGCTTTTTACACACAGAAGGTTTTACACAGAGAAGTCTTTACTCCAAGGAGCTTTTGCACACAAACGTCTAGGAGCTTTTTCACACAGAACTTTTTACACGAAGAAGGCCTGACAGAGAGAGTTTTTACACACAGACGCGTTTGCACACAGAAGCTTTTACACAGAGAAGCCTTTACACAGAGGGGCTTTTACACACAAAAGCACTTGCACACAGCAAGCTTTTACTCACACAGGGGCTTTTACACAGAGAAGTCCTTACACAAAGGAGCTTTTTACACACAGAAGGCTTTACACAGAGAAGTCTTTACTCTAAGGAGCTTTTGCACACAAACGTCTAGGAGCCTTTACACACAGAAGCTGTTACACAAAGAAGTCTTTACAGAGATATATAGCTTTCACACACAGACGCGTTTACACGCAGAAGCTTTGGACGCCGAAACGCTGGTATTTACGCCGTTTTTTGCCTGTGGCGGCGCCAAACCCCTGTAAATTACAGCATTTTCTTCCCTTTTTGAACCGATTTTTTGCGTTGATGAACGCAAAAAACGCTGGTATTTACGCGTTTTTCAAAAAATCGAAGATCGTGACGTGAACGAAACCCTGTAAATAACAGTGTTTTAGCCACTTTCGGGGACTAAAACTATGGTATTTACGCGGGTTCTTGCCATCTGACAGCGCAAAATGCTGTAAATTACAGCACTTTGTGTGCTGTTTATGTTCAATTTTTGAACCTGCCACCTGTTCTTTGCATTCTTCCACAAGAAACAACGTTGCAGATTGAAACTGGACGACAGCGTGACCCGAAAGAAAGCTGGATGGAGGAGTCGCACAGAAGCTTTTGCACATACAGGGGCTTTTACACAGAGAAGTCTTTACACAAAGGAGCTTTTTACACACAGAAGGTTTTACACAGAGAAGTCTTTACTCTAAGGAGCTTTTGCACACAAACGTTCTTAGGAGCTTTTTCACACAGAACTTTTTACACGAAGAAGGCCTGACAGAGAGAGTTTGTACACACAGACGCGTTTGCACATAGAAGCTTTTACACAGAGAAGCCTTTGCACAAAGGAGCTTTTTACACACAGAAGGTTTTACACAGAGAAGCCTTTACTCTAAGGAGCTTTTGCACACAAACGTCTAGGAGCCTTTACACACAGAAGCTGTTACACAACGAAGTCTTTACACAGAGGGCTTTTTACACACAGACGCGTTTGCACACAGAAGCTTTTACACAGAGAAGCCTTCACACAGAGGAGCTTTTACACACAAAAGCATTTACACACAGCAAGCTTTTACACACACAGAGAAGTCCTTACACAAAGGAGCTTTTTACACACAGAAGGTTTTACACGGCGAAGTCTTTACTCCAAGGAGCTTTTGCACACAAACGTCTAGGAGCTTTTTCACACAGAACTTTTTACACGAAGAAGGCCTGACAGAGAGAGTTTTTACACACAGACGCGTTTGCACACAGAAGCTTTTACACAGAGAAGCCTTTACACAGAGGAGCTTTTACACACAAAAGCATTTACACACACAGGGGCTTTTACACAGAGAAGTCTTTACACAAAGGAGCTTTTTACACACAGAAGGTTTTACACAGAGAAGTCTTTACTCTAAGGAGCTTTTGCACACAAACGTCTAGGAGCCTTTACACACAGAAGCTGTTTCACAAAGAAGTCTTTACACAGATATATAGCTTTCACACAAAGACGCGTTTACACACAGAAGCTTTTACACAGAGAAGCCTTTACACTTTACACAGAGAGTTTTTACACACGGAAGCTTTTACACACAGTGAAATCTTTACACAGACGTTTCACACAGAGAAGCTTTCACACACAGAAGCTTTTACACAAAGAAGTCTTTACACAAAGTGGTTTTTACACACAGAAACTTTTACACACAAAAGCTTTTACACAGAGAAGTCTTTGCACAGAGGCGCCTTTACACGAAGTAACAAGTTGAAATTGGCAGCAGTTCTTCGGGAAAAACCCTTGGCAGGAGCTTTCGGGAACTCACTTGCTCCCCAAAAAAGCCGTCTATTTCCAACAAAGTTCCTATGCCATGACCTTTTTTCAAAAAAACATAAGGAATATATTTCTGAAGCAGGTCCCCATCCAAAAGCTTTCAAGCCCACACTGCGATGAAATGGAGGGTCGAGAAATCCGGCGGAGCCGACGAGGGGCGTCAGCCCTTAAATCTGTGTGATGATACGCGTATGTGTACACACACAATAATCATAAATCTATGTAAATGTATATACAAATCATAAATGTGTAGTACGGCTACATATACATATTGTATACATATATATATATTACATATACATATGAACTAGAGCAGACTACACCATGCGGACCAACAGTCCGCAACTCCACACACTTAGCCCACCCTGCCTCAATGGAGTACATATCGTGGTGCGGCGGAGGGGAGATCAGCCCCACCCCAGGCGTAGCCTTGCGGGTTTCGGCAATCTTGCCAATGACCTGACAGTGCAGCATGCCTGGGGCCCTGGGGCCCTTCACAGGACTCTCCTCTTGGCATAAAGATGGGCAATACTTCAAAGTCTGGAACTGATTGAAAGTTATATTGTACTTATATATTACATATAATAGAATATAACATATATAAATATAGTTTATACTTTAATTATACATATTGCATATTATATAGTAAATCATGTATTGTCTATTATGTATTATCGCGCCTTGTGGCCTGGCAGCTCGCCACCCTCACCAGGCTTGGCGCCCTGGGCCAACCTTGACGGCCAGGTGTAAAACAACACCATGTGGGGAAAAACATGGGAAAAACATCTAACCTAATATATGATTCATATGATACATATGTCTCATATGGTATGTGAATATACATGATATATGACATATGAGATATGAATATGGATTTGTCCAGCAATGGAGAATGGCCCCAATTTATGGCTATTTGAACCTGGCAAAACAACGACAAACCCAACCGTTCTACATCTCAGCTTGCCCAAAACTCTTCAAGTCAACGCATCTACGCTCGGCATGAACAACTCGAAGTGACTCTAGCTGATTCCATCTTGGCAAATGTATCTCTCATGATCTGCTTGTCTTCTCCAACAGAATGTCTTGTTTCCACTAAAGGACTTGATCTGGAGCTCGTCTGCGTTCGCCAGATACTCGGCGGTCACACCAAAGCGTCCAGACGCCACCTGTCGGATAGGGTTCAAACATGGCTCACACCCGAACTGCCGGCTGAGTGTCTGCCAGACACCTGTCGTGAATCTTCAATTGAGAATGCAGTCACTCGCATTTTGAGAGTCCTATAACATTCCTATAACATTCCTATACATTCCTATACTTCAAGTTGAAATCCAACCCACCCTGAGAACTCTGCACCTGCTTGATCTTGGAGCGGAAGGTATCCCCTCCGACAATGTCCCATTTCACGGCACCGGCTTCAAACTCTCCAGGCTCCAGTTGAGTGAAACGCATCGGGTCCTGGCACATGTTCGAATTGTAAACTTTCTCAGAACTCATGCGCTTCATGAACATCTGCGCTACATGAAGCCCAAGTTTGATTAGCAGGTTGGCTCATGTTGGCTCTATACCGTCTATACCTCCGTTTCGCATTGCGACAGCTCAGTTTTTCATTGCACCTCACCACCTTCGCCCGTGTTGCTCTTTCCGCCAATTCGATTCATGGCGATGGCCATGGCTCGATGTGCCTGGACTCACATTCAGGAAAATATGTGGTAAAGGATGCACAAACGCTGGTCAAACGTCTTTCAAACCATTATATATATATATATTATATATATATATAAACGTCGCACTATTGCAAAATATGGTAAATATATGTAAATATTTGTAAATCGAATTGTCTTGAACTTGAGCTAATTTCCATGTGCGCTGGGTTCAAGCGGATCTTACCCTTACCAAGTCACAGTGCCTCATCACTGATAGATCCAAAGGATGCGGCACCGGTGCAGAACCGCTTCACGATCTCAACAGCCGGCTCCACCTGCAAACAAACCAGAGAATCCTTGGAGAAAATCATCCAGCCGTCCAGCCTTGAAGTTCTGGGCGTCCCCACTTCCAACACTTCCAACACTTCAACAGGACTAAGCCCAAGTGCTCCAAGTGAGCCAAGTGGTCCAAAAGGTTACGCATTGGTGACCCAAAACGGCAGGGACAGGTTTGGTACAAATTGGTGCAGTATCAGGATGTATCAGGCCATATCAGGCCTCATTGAGCGGCACGGGAACGCACTCTTCCTCACGAAAGTCCAGCTGGCCACGGATCTCTGTTTGCTCAGTGATCCTGGCACTGGAGTGACAACTGGAAGAAAAGATGAATGGATGCAATGGATGTATTCAAAAATTTCAAAAGTGGGGAATATTCCATCAACTGGTCTATGGTAGTAAATTGATCATTGTGTCGGCTTGTTCTAGATCCCAAGTCCCCAAATGAAGCTGTGTGCATTTACGAGTCCACTACACCACTTGGTTCAGTTCCTAAAAGCTTGCGAGTCCATGATCAGGTCAGGATATGAAGCACTGACTACGGAACATTCGGGATTCTCAACATTTGGCATCCAGACCCAATGTTCCTCAATTGAAGGCATTGTCTTGTTTTTTGTGAGCAGAAGGAACAAGGAAAGTGGAACCTGTGGAACTCTCCATTTGGAAATCGGCGCGCGGAAGATGTCAGTTGTGCCAAGGTGACGCCAAGGTGCTTGTTCTGCCAGGTGGAGAACATCTTGTATGCGTCCGTGGAATTGTTCTGCGCCGCTTCTTGCCTGCCAAATCTGCCAACTCAGCAATGGCCAGTAACTCGTTGCACACTTGCAGAATTGATCCGAACTGATCCAAATTGCTTCACAATCTGTCAAGGTCTGTCAAGCTATCATAGTCTTACAGTAGTCTTACCACGTGACTGATAATTGGTTCAAGCTACATCTTGTAGATCACGTCGGGCGTGTTCCTCGGTCAAACATCGGTCTTGGAGGTTGGGGAGTTCGAATACCAAAAGTCCAAGCCATTTTGGACAAAACGCTTGAATAAGACGAATAAGACATCATTGATTGAAGGCAGGTTCTTTGCGAAACAGGCCCTTGGATGCTGAAATGCTCGGATCCCAAGATAGCAAGTCTATTGACTGTTCGAGGGGAATTGGTTGGTTTTGCACTTCATCCTTGTGCATTAACAGAGGCAGTAAGGGTACACGATGAACACCATGATGTGTACTCTTTTCGGGGTGCCTGCATTTGACCACAAATGGCAGAGCACGCTACAACGCCAGCCATAAAATCGTAGGAGACCTACGTCGCTGTCCTAGTTTCCTAGTTTCGTGGGTGACAGTACCAGCTGCAGGTGCTGCACCAAGCAACATGTGGATTTCGGTCTCATGGATGGACCGGAAGTGATACTCCCCAAAGTCATCCAGTTCTTCCACCTGCAAAAATGCAGGGTGAAAATGCAAAGTCACATGACGTGCCATGAAGTGTCATGCAGTGTCCAAAGCCGTCTGCACCGAATTAGGAACAAAGATGAACAAAGTAAAATGAACAGTTGAACTATGTTGAACTGTTACCCTCTCCGACCCTCACAAAACCTCACCTCTTCATCCACCAGCATTGGTTGTGGTCGTTCTGGGAAGGCCAATTTGTGCAGCTCCATCGCATCCTTCGTACAAAGGGTGAGGGAAGCATTGTAACAGGCTGCTCCATGACAGTTGGAAGCTGCTAAGTGGGGACTGCAATCTGGATAGTCTGCACATGTTTGTGGAGGGTTGCACCAAGAAAACTCTCACGAGGAGACATCTCCTGCGAGAAGATGTTGAAACCAGCGCCGTTCAAAACAAACTTGCCTTGGCCAAGTGAGCTCCTGTGTCACGATATGTTGAAAGCATCGGGCAGTTGGTCATTCACCCTACAGTAAGCATTCAAGAGATCAAACGCCAGGATGAACAAGTGATTTAAAGAGTGAAGAATAGAATACAGTAAAACTCAGAAAAACAGTTTAAATTCGAAAGTTTACTGCGCTACGCTATTTCGGTCGAGGCACAGCCAGTGAAACACTTGGAGATGACCTCCTTGTCAAGACCAACAGCTTGGAAGAGCTGAGCGCCCTGGGCCAGGAGGACTACCGGGCAGAAACCAACACCAACATAGACCAGCTATATCCTACCGTTAGTATCCGGTGATGCTGTTCAACAGTTGTGGCTTTGTAGCCACACAGGTTCAAACCTGACCGGTTTCAACGCAGAAGCCGGAAAGACTTGGTAAGGAGATTCAGCCAGATTGCTTCAAGATGAGATGGCAATAACCTTGTTCCCAGCTGGGATTGAACTGCCTAGGTCTACTTGGTTGGTGAGTGGAAAACAAATATCTGAGATTCATAGATGCATGCATCTCCTATCAATCAACCTCTCAGAGTCTCAGGCTCTAGAGAGACAGCACAACTGACTCAACTGACCGCCTTGTAGCTCTGCAGGCAAGAGATACCCATCTTGGACATGACCTTCAAGATACCTATTGCAGCTGTGTCACAAGCTGTCACAATCTGAAAGGGCATAGCCGGCATAGCCGGCATAGCCGGCATAGCCGGCTTGGCTGTTGGCGAGGGCCTCAGGCCCTTTTTCACCCCCGCCTGAGTCAGAGCCGGAGCGGAAGTTTTCGATGCGCTTGTTCAGGGGAAGACTGCAACCACGAACTCGCAAGAGGCTCAAATAGCCTGGGCGGAAAGGCTTTCGTGACTGGCTCTTTGGCAAGTTCTTAACTTTTGAACCAGAGTTCAAACAATTACTTCAGAGCTGGATCGGTAGAGTGGACACAGCAGGTAGCCTGCCCTTCTTTGAAAAAATAGATGAAGTTGGTCAAAGTGTCACTGATCTTGATGATCTTGTCACTGATGGAGATCATCCAACCTTCAAGAGCCTAGCCTCCCTCCATCTTTGTGAATGCAGCTGTAAATTCTTGGACATCTTGAGCCCTGAAATTGACAAATGGTCGGAGGAACCGAGGATTCTCCTTGATCCAAAGCAAAGAACAGCCTTCACCAAGCTGTGCCAAGTCACAGAGGTATGGATAAATCGCATCGCAGCCAAAGCCCAAAAGGCAGCAGAAGTGGTGAATCTCCTTAGGTCATCTTAGGTCGCTCCTGTGTGTTTCTGATGTTTCTGTGGCATGACATGGTAAAATTATGTAAAATTGGTCCGCCCTCAGCAGCTCTAAAAGGTACTGTATGTATTGGCACGGGATGGCACAGGATGGCACGGAGGTCGCAGCTGGTCGTAGCAGAGGGCCAATCTTAAAGTTTGATCAAGGGACGTAGGCATCCGCCGCTTCCACAATCAGCGCCACCTGAGCTTCGACGAACTTTGCGAACAATGATTCTGGCTTTTCTGAGGGGCAACTTCCCACAGGAGACGTACTACAACGCTGCAAAACGTCAACATGCTCTTGAGAAGCGACCTTATCTCTTTGTCTTGTCGTGGTTTAACATGACCTTGATACACATCTGCGAAAGACTACCTGTTTCGGGCACCTTGGCGCGGAGCTTCTTTGCAATCAAATCCTGATGAAGGGCTCCAACCGCCAACAAAGAACCTTAGTTGAGGCATCTCCGCATGATTCGAGGCACTCAAAGCATGCTTCCTCTAGGGTCTATGAGTGATCACTGATATCCAAGTAGCTGGCCACATCTTGCAACCCACTGCAAGTGGCCATGGACCACAACATCATAAATCTCGTCGCAATGACCCAACCACCCCTACCGACCGATGACACTCAACAGTTCCCCATATCTCATGCGATCCAGCTCTGTTCATTGTCCGAGTGGCTCACAGGAACTCGGCTTTGCCCAGCCTTGCGATGACTCAGTACCAACACCGCTGCACCATCGCCCAAGATGGCTGCTTCGGCCTCAACACTCGAACTGAATAGCGAGGCATAATGCCATTAGTGATGTGAAGTAATGTGAAGTAATGACTCTCACGGTCATAGCATGTCACAACAGACCCATACAGTGGACCCATGTGAGCGATGAGATGACCGTCCACATCAGATCACTCAGATCGCTCAGATCACTCAGCCGTTCCAATCAACGTGTGCCTCCTTACAGATCTGCTCCAAGCGTTCCTGGTCGCATGAAATCAACATGAAACCAACTGTTGAAGCGAAACAGGCAAGCCTTTCTGACTGCTTGGAGCAAGCGACTCACAAACAGAAACATGCAGTTTTCTCTGTCCACCGAAGTGAGATATCAAGTGTATAGATTGCAAGTTTATACGTATAATGATGTACATATTTTTTCACACCCTCTATGTAGCAACTAAAGATTAACTAAAGAATCTTTGTCAACATTCTGCCGCGCCTTCAGCAGGTTGTTGCCGCGGATTGCACGATCCGCCTGCCGCGCCTTGGAAGTGCTCTCATTCAAGCCGTAGGTCATATCCTTGGGCGAACCGAAGAGTCCCCGAAGAGTCCAGTGAGTCCAGTGTTCACCCCCGGTGGTGCCGTTGGTGGCGTTGGTGGCGTTGGTATGTCATGTGGAAAGCACCAGTATACTGCAAACTGAGGGGCATTCTATGTCCATTCTATGTCCATTCTATGTCCATTCTATGTATTTCTATGTTGCCAAACATTGGTCATTGGTCTGAATCCATTTACAGCATATATGTTCATTGCGGGAATTTTCTAGGGACATGTTCTTTTTAAAGTCAGTGTTTGATCCTCCTGGATCATCATAGCTGCGGGGGAGTTCATTCACGCCAAGTACCGTGTCAGTCCACCTGATGCTTTCTTCACTGTTGAGCTTTGTGCTTTGGACTCATCAACTGTATTATCACAGTCCCTTAAAAGTCCCCAGTGTCAAGATAGACCATGTCCCACGATGTCCCGGACGTCCCAGGTTTACATCAAAGCAGCCAGCACGACTGTTGGAAAGCCATCGTCCTTGTGAAGCTTCAGACAAGGCCACGAGGCCCAGACGCTAGTGATTTTCTCTACAATACTGGAGGGGTCTGGAGGCTTTGGAGGTAAAGACTGGATGGTTGGATTGGATCTTCTGAAAGGGGAAGAACTTCTGGAGCCCTTTCTGACTCGTTGCTCAAGAAATAAAACAAGGCAACCGGTCTTAGGCTCATTCTTGGGCTATCAAGTCAGCCGGCACCTGCAAGCCGAAGATAGCATTGTAGCGGCGGGGGCACCTCAGCAGAAAGGATCAGAAAGGAACCAAGATGCAAATAAGATGCAAATAAGATGCAAATCAACTTTGAGATCTGCGGGGACCTACTGACGCTCAGGTACTTTCCAATCGCCAAGCAGCAGAATGGGTGAGTCCAGGAAGACACGACGGCAGGCGTCAGGTGAAGGTTCCAACAGGCTTCGCTCGGGGCCAATGGGGCAAGTCAAGGACCTCAAGAAATTGGTTATAGGGCTGTCAAAAGCTGTCAAAAGCTGTCAAAATCTGTCAACCCAAAATTTGTACGCAACCCGCACAGCTTCACGCGTCTTTCTCAATGCATCTTACAAATCACAGGGTTTTGCCCACGGCCAAGAAATGTCTCTTGGTCCTGACAGAAGATTTGCCAAGCTACATGACATTGGCCTCGCGGATTGGATCAATGGGAGGATTGGTCGCTTGTGCGAATAGCTGTGAGAAGTAGTCGAAGGGCTGCCGAGGCATCTTGGACAAGCAGGCCAGTGGCATGTCCTTCCGGTCAAAACCCGCAAAAATGGAAGCACCATCTCACCATCCCGAATCCTAGCAATGGGTTCAGTTTCGGCCAAGCATCTTGGCTCTTTACTGCACCGTCTACATATACGTATCTACATTCTGAATTAGCATTGCAACCGCCCAAGAAAGGCACAGTTGGACCATGCCCCATGCAAGTACTTCACTCCTGACCCATGGAGCCCAAGGGTTCGCTTCCAGACTTCACCATGGGGGCGATAAGCATGTCCATCTTTTCCTTGGTGCCACTGAAGTTGTTGGAACCTTCTCCTTGATATAGTTCTGCTACTGATTGTACAGTAATACCAAAATAGAATTTGCATTAATTTGCCAATATCTATTGAGTTTTGCGAACCAGCTGCGTAGGTGTATCCGCAGTACTTCAAGAGCGGCAACACCCTCTTGTTGATCTGAGTCCTCGGCTGAAGCATGTCAACTCACCGATGGCTAGCAGAGAGTCCTCTAGTAGTTTGGGATTATGGCGAAAACGGTCCACTCCGTCCACTCCCCATTTCCACCCGGGACCATGGATGAACCCTTGGCCACGTCCGAGGGGCAGTTCTTTGCCTTCCAAACTGCCGAGTTCCTCTTCCAGCAGCTCTTCAATCAACGCGAAGTCACTCTTGGGCTCAGGACCCAAGCGATCCTGGCACAGGCTTAGCAACTGGCTTGGCAGATAACACTGACTAAACTGAGGATGCAAATTGAGCAGCAATAAGAAACAGTGTGCGCAAGAGAAGCTGTTTGGCTATGTTCTAATCTCCTTCAACTCCACGCTGTTCTTTTTCAAATATTCACCGTAGGGCTTCTTTGTGGCGTATCGCATCTTCAACTCAGTGTCCTCGATCATTCGGCCCTGGCACCAAGGGGAGGCATCTCTATCGGACAGAGGAAAGCCTCTAGAAATCTCTTCTGAGCCGCTTAAAAGACTCCGTGGACCAGAGCCAATCAACCCAGCTTGGTTGAGCATGACTTTGTGAGCACATCCTTGTGAGTATTCAATGGTCACAAGATGTCACGAGGCACTAGAGCCCAAAGTAGATTATGAAGGAAGTCTTGCATCTACGTAAGTTTACCTATATTCTATTCAATTAATCTTTGGCAAATGCTCACCTCCCATCCTCTGAGCCTGGGCAAAGTCCACCAAGAGCATTTTTCCTGGCCTCAAGCGGCCCTTGAACTGGACCTCAGGGTGCCGTTCTGGCTCGGGCCCGGCAAGAAAACTGAGTACCAGCCCCAGACCAGAGATTAAAACCCAACAGTCACTGCTGTTGGGAATTTTGCGTCACTAGATACAACTCATCCAGAAGTTGCTCACGCATGGAGCTTGTGGCATATAAATGGATCTTTTATGACCTTTAGTGACCTTCCATGATTCTGATCCAACCTCAATCCCGCGCCTCTTCTGGTCGGACATCCACTACGCCAACCTCTGAGGCCAAGATGAGGCGCTGGTCCTGCGCTTGGATGGTTCCAATGATAGGCTCCACCCGGCCCCCGGCCGCCCCAGCACAAGATGCGCAAGGTCCTTGGTGATGTAAAACCGGCCAGGACGCAAACCGTTGCGGTCCAAGGTGGCGCCAAATTGGATGCCATCCGTGAAGCAAACCAGTGCAGGGCCATCCCAGGGCTCCATCACGCAGGAAAGATACTTATAAAAGTCCTCGCCATTGGGTTTCAAACGCTTTCTCCAAACAAATCTAAGGGAAACAAGTAGAAATCAAATACTCATGGCGAAATTCTTAATGTGGAGGACAAGCAGATGGCAGTTCTGACACCCAGCTGGGACTGGTTGGAAGTTTAAAACATTTTTCGTTTTCCATCTTACCCTAGGATGAAGGGGTGCTGATATGTGTCATTCTTGACTGAACACTGAACACTTGCATGTTGGAATCTTTGCGCCGGTCCTTCTTCTCGGGCTGCATCAAGTTCCTAAGCTCTTTGGCCCATTACACAAGCAGCTGGTGGCAACATGAGTTCTGAGGCTCTTGGAAAGTCATGAAGATTTCTGGGTACAGTTCTTGAGATTCTTGAGATTCTTGAGCAGGTAATTCGGTCTTTTGCGGGAAAACATTCTGTCGAAACTACGTTGCCATATGTTGCCATAGCGGGTTCCGCTAGCGGATCCATGTGGGATCCATGTGGGACCGGCGCCAAGTGGCGTGTTCTGCCAGGCCTCGGGGATCACCATCATGATGACCTCTGCCAAGTCGCGGGTACCTGCACCGTGCACCGTGACGTCATGGCAATGTCATGACATGTCATGACAGTGTCATGACAACGAGACCATGGTGACCATGCTGTGGTACAGATTTCAGGATCGAACAGTATCACTGATCTCAGCCATCACCCATGATAGAGTACGGTCGTTTTGATTTTCATACGGTTTGATATGTTTTGATATGCTTTGATGGTTGCCAGCATGATCCACCAAAACCAGAACCGCCGCCATAACCTATCTGGATGACCTGCCTGCGGCCAACAACAGCTCTACCACGTTGTCCAAGAGAGCAGAGTCACTTCCAATGTCCTCGTCCACAGGGAAGAAGGCCTAAGAGTCACACAAGCAGAAATTTTGTAGCACAAGTGGCATCAATGATTGTATCAGTCCTCAAGTCTTTCAGGCGCAGATCAAAAGGTGTTGGTTCTGCTACAATCACTTCAAAGCACAGCTCAACTAGTCATCTCCCAGTTTGTTGAAAGGTAAACCTCTACCTAAGGCCTAAGGCCTAAGGTAGGATACAGCACTTCATCAGAAAGTAAAGGGAAAAAAAATGAAAAAAGGGAAATCAGAAGCTGCAGAACTTTCTTCAAAGCGTTTCACCTGCGGCAATTTCTGTGGCGCCTCCAGTGGAGCATCCCCAAAGGCTTTGCTGTTGGTCATGAGAGCTTCACGCGTTCGGATGGAGTTTCGATTGCCAGCCAGGGTGTTGATTTCGCCTTGGCCACTAGCGTCACGTTTGCCACACATTTGCCCCAAGTTTCTTGATCCAAATCTGCAGCACCTGTTCCATCTGTAGATTAAAGATATCAAATGCTCTTGGATGAAAGCTGCCTCCCAATAATATGGTTTGAATGGCTTCAGTTTGCAATGTTCAAGGCCATAAAGAAACGTCTTGTGCAACAGATTCACTTTGCGGAGCAGGGAACACTATGGCTGCACAGCACAAAGAAGTGGCTTTGGCAGCAAAAAGCAAATGCACTACAGCAACAAGTGGATTTGCAGCAGCGTCATTTAAGGGCCAAGGCAGCCAAGGCAGCCAAGGCAGCCAAGGTGCCATTGTGTGCAATGCGGCGGAAGGGATGAGCGCGGTTCCAGGAAGGGAAAGAGTTGGTAGAGAAGCGCGAGTGGACCTCAGGGCCCAGGACGGTCATCGGGGTCCGTGCGATGAAGAAAGTGAAGAGAGTGAAGAGTTAGGACGTTAATTCACGTTGCTTAGAAGGCTTGGAAGGCTTAGAAGGGCCTATATCCTGTCGGTTTTTGCTTCCGTGCTGTAGAGTGCTGCTCCGGTATCGACCAGCAATCACCTCCCTTAAAACTATGGGAAAAAAGAAACCATCACTGCAGAGACAACCACTCGATCAACACAAACTTACCTGACCAACCAGAGCTTCAGTTCTGGTGAATGAACAAGCCGAACACTGAATGGGGTCTTGAAATGATGGTGTATCAGTGTATCTGCATCCCAAAATCGATGGATTTCATTCCACGTGTTCACAGACGATAATCGAGTATGATCTGTGGTCCGAAATTGCACCACATCCGCAGATTGCTACGCCAAAAAACCAACGCCAGGAAGGCAGTGCATTGCTCAGACTTCCTGGTGCCAGCTTCTTTGATCCACAAGTCACACTTTCCACCTTTGGGCACTCAACCCTAAATATATCCTTGAATACAGGGTTTAGTTATGGCCGTCCGGGGTGGCAAACGCAAAACAGGTCCAATACCAAAAAATTCTGGCCTTTAACCAAAAAAAAATTGCAGGGGCAGCTTAAGATTTTCTGGATTCCCGGAGACATTATCCCTTTCAGTGACAGATGTGGAACAATACTTTTTGGTTTGCTTGATCACCAAGAATTGTTCAGCCGGCATTCGTCCGTTCACAATGAAGCCATCTTGAAAGAAACCACGATGAGATTCAGACTAAAACTATCACGCGATATTTGGATCTGTTCAACTCATCTGTCAAATGCAAACCCAGCCTTTCAACCTCTCCCAGAACCAAACACCCGTGGATAATCGGATTTGGATAGAAATTGAGCTTTCAAAAAATGGAATCTCACATGTCCTCAAGCAAGGATCATTGGTCGTGTTTATACTCAAAACATCTCAAAACGTTTTGTATAACGGAAAACCAATTTCTCGGAGTACTTCACCCAGATTCACCAAACATTATGTTTTGCATCTGCTTGAGTTTAGGGCCTCAAGAACTGGTTCATTCTCATTAGAGCAAAAGGCAAGCATTGGTTTAGCGAATTCAATCCTACTTTTATCGGCTGTAAGCAATTACATCAGGTAGGTAGATAGATAGATAGCTAGATAGATAGACAGATAGATTAGATAGATTAGATAGATTAGATAGATTAGATAGATTACATAGATTACATAGATTAGATAGATTAGATAGATCAGATAGATCAGATAGATCAGATAGATCAGATAGATCAGATAGATCAGATAGATCAGATAGATTAGAGATATTAGAGAGATTAGACAGACTAGATAGACTAGATAGACTAGATAGACAAGATAGATAAGATAGATAAGATAGATCAGATAGAGCAGATAGATCAGGTAGATCAGATAGATCAGATAGATCAGATAGATCAGATAGATCAGATAGATCCGAAAGATAGATAGATAGATAGGTAGATAGATAGATAGATAGAAAGATAGATAGATAGATAGGTAGGTAGGTAGATAGAAAGGTAGATAGATAGACAGACAGACAGATGGATAGATAGACAGATAGACAGACAGACAGACAGACAGATGGATAGATAGATGGATAGATAGCATAAGATAAGATAAGATTAGATTAGATAAGATAAGATTTGAAAAGATTTGCAAAGATTAGATAGATAGGTAGATAGCATAAGATAAGATAGGATTAGATTAGATAAGATTAGATAAGATGAGAAAAGATTAGAACAGATTAGATAGATAGATAGATAGATAGACAGACAGACAGAGAGATAGATAGGTAGGTAGGTAGGTAGATAGGTAGATAGGTAGATAGGTAGGTAGCATAAGATAAGATAGGATTAGATTAGATAAGATTAGATAAGATGAGAGGTTGATTAGAACAGATTAGATAGATAGATAGATAGATAGATGGGTGGATGGATGGATGGATAGATAGATAGATGGATAGATAGATGGATAGATAGATAGATATAGATAGATAGATAGGTAGATAGATATATAGATAGATTGGTAGATAGATAGATAGATAGATAGAATAAATAAACAAATAAATAAACAAATGAACAAATAAACAAATAAACAAACAAATAAATAAATAAATAAATAAAAATAGATAAGATAGATAGGACAAATAGATAGATGGGGTAGATAGGACAGATAGGACAGATAAGACAGATAAGTCTGATAAGAGAGATAAGAGAGATAAGATAGATCAGATAGATCAAATATATAAGATAGATGAGATAGGATAGGATAGGATAGGGAAGGATAGGATATGATAGGATAGGACAGGATGGGAAGGGTGGATCGATAGATAGATAGGAGGTAGGTAGGTAGGTGTTGTACCAGGAGGAGTTCAACGGACTGCAATCGCGCTTAACCCAGTCATTCAGAAATACAGAAAGCAAAACCACCACACAAATGCATGTTCAGTGTCAAGTCCATGTAGTACTCAAACAGCTGGTCCGGCTTGAACTGCCCTGGATGCAACCCACAGCTGACAGACGGGTACAATACTAATGGCCATGACAGAAATTACCACGTTTCACTTTGTTTGAAGAATTTGACTTCGGGTCATGACAGAAGTTTCCCAGCTCCAAAGACTCTGACCAGATCTGCATTGAGAAGTCTCCCTTCTCCTGCCTTGAATTTGGTTTGTTCAGTGCTGTGACTGAATTTTGACAAATGCAATCGTCTTTCTGTATCATATTCACATCGGTGTGGAGAAACTATCCAAAAACATTGAGCCCTGCCCCGACAAGCACCTTTGTATGTGATTGTCCTGCAAGACAGTGAGCATACGAACACCTCCCTGGCTCGCAGTGCGACGGCACGGCGCAGCAAAAACAGTCTTGTCTCCAATGGCAAGCCTCAGCTGCTGAGCTGCTGAGTTGCAGTGTTGATGGGAGAATTCCTGGAACCTCTTAACCTCCGCTAACAAAATGTCTCAAGAATCAACATCACCCAATCCATCACCGAACCGCTGTCACTACTAGTCACTACCAACCATTTGTTTATATTCATATTTATATACTATCTATATATATATATATATTATGTATATATATATATATTATGTATATATATGTATATATTATGTATATATATATATATTATGTATATATATATATTATGTATGTGTATATATATATTATGTATATATATATATATTATGTATATATATATATATATATTATGTATATATATATATTATGTATATATATATATATATTATGTATATATATATATATATTATGTATATATATATTATGTATATATATATTATGTAATGTATATATATATTATGTATATATATATATTATGTATATATATATATATTATGTATATATATATTATGTATATATATTATGTATATATATACATACATACATATATATATATTATGTATATATATATTATGTATATATATATATTATGTATATATATATTATGTATATATATATATATATATTATGTATATATATATATTATGTATATATACATATTATATATATATTATATATATATATATTATAGTTTATATATATATATATTATGTATATATATATTATAGTTTATATATATATTATTATTATTATTATTATTAGTATATATGTAATGTATATATATATATTATATATATTATGTATATATATAGATATAGATATAGATATAGATATTCAAAATCTGGTAAACCTGCTATCACTCCCAGCACCAAGTCGGTTCCAAGGATCCCTCATACTCACCGGGGGAAGCCTCAAAATACAGGGCCACGAAGAAAAGGTCACTGTGACCACTGTGAACAGTTGGAATGAAGACTCTATGCTAAGAAGTTCTAAGAAGCAAGTTGAAGTGCTTGCAGTCTTGGCCTAGAACTACCAAGTTTGCAGGAAAAGGTGGCAAAATCCTCTTCTTGAATTCTTGAAGTGTCCATGCCTAGAGGTGCAAAGGTATCTTGTTTCTGCTGCAGCACTTGTCAAGTTGGGTGTATCGCAGCAAAGCTTTGTGTCAGCCACTATTTCAAAGAATAGAAAGCCAGGAAGACTTTGTCCAAGCTACTTGCACATCTTGAAACATGTTGAAACATGTCGCAAACATTGGCATCCATAGAATCCATAGAAATCCTTTCAAATTGACCCAAGCCCGAACTTCTAGTCCCTGCCAGGCCACCTTTGCCTTGCTTGTTGCACCCTCACTGCCAGATTCTGGCACCAAACTCTCTGCCATACCAACAAAGACCTGCCACAAACCAAGCACTCTAGACTATAAGTATTTATATATATATAATTATATGTGTATTCACATAAGAACTGTGTCATTGTGCAAGTATTATATTAGTATGTATGCATTGCATATTTATATATATATATATGTGTATGTATGTGTCTATGTGTGTGTGTGTTTGTGTGGCTCACATGTTGCGTCAAACAAGTATGACGTACTTTCCTGAAATGTAAAAACAAGAAAATGTAACACCATTGCCTGTGCGACAAAGGGCTCAGTAGACTTGGCATAGGGTCCCAGCACAAGGGAGTTCACTGGCAAAGGCTTTCGCCAGCCGATGACCTGTTGAAGGAAAGGCCAAAATTGCTGAGCTACATGGTGTTTTTGAAGATACGCTTTATAGGCCCTATACTAATACTGTAGGCTGTATGAACGATGAGTTGGGACCAAAATGGCCGTCACGCTAGTAGATAGTTGTCGTAATGGTGATGAGTTGAACAGATATTAAGAGAAGGCTAACAGCGGCTAACAATGTGTTTGCAATCGCCCGCTTCGAATTCTAGGAGTCCTAGTGCACTCCTCAGCCCAGTGGAGGCCGGTTCTGTGTGCGGCACCTCCAAACCCAAACGACGGGCCATTCGTCCCACCAACTTCACTGCGTCTTCGCGCTTGTCTTCCTGCGCAACATAGGCAGCATAGCCACTAAAACTCTTAGGTGCCACACGAAATCGAAAGTCAAGTGCTTAATAAACTGGAGCTGTCGTAACGTAGAACTGGCCAAGTCATCTAAGGTTTGATCGAAACTTGTCAGGAAAAAATCACTGGTGTATTTGCTCCAGTCAATGCTTGCAGTGGATATCACATGGTCTGTATGTTCATCGTGAATCTCTGTATTTAGGTACTCAACGGTACTCAAGTCATGTCCCCTGCAAGGTTGTGCAAATTTGGCAAAAAAATCAAAAGACACTCCACCTGTCCTGGCGGGGCATGAAGAGGTTTCCAACACCATACTGACCCTCTGGAGGAAGGTCGAAATTGCAGCAACTGCGAAGGTACCTGTCACAGGAATGCAAACATTTGGGACCTTAAGCAATGGTGATCGATGTAAATGTGGCAAGAACTGAGAAACCGACATAAGTTGTTTTGTTACATCTACAAACAAAATTGGAATCCTGATTTTCCTGTCTCAAAGTCCCACTCAGCGCACTCATCAGGCACTGAAATCATGATGCCAACTCCATCGCCATCATCCTGGCGAAAATGCTGCAAATGTTCAAAGCAATCCAGCTGATGCATCATTCAAAAACTGAAATTTTGAAGAGAGCAACCCAGATAGATATGGCTGGCCATGGAAAGGTAGAATGCTGATCAAAGTTGCAGTTTTGAATGTGGCAAAAAACGAAAGTATCACAAAGTGGATACGCCCGGTTGATTTTTTAATGTATATATATACACATATATAAAGTTTATTAAAGTATCCAGGCTCACATTCACCACCGACGTTGTTGAAAAAGTTGGCAGTTTTTCAACCATTCAAATTTTGTTGGATTCATTTATTTGTTCATTTGTTCATTGAATCAATCCATCAATCCATCAATCAGTCAGTCACTCACTCACTCACTCTTTCATTCATTTTTTCCTGCAACTCCATGATGTGCAAAAAATCAGCAATCATCTGACAATAAATTTAGAATGCTGGAATTTTACCATATATGTTTTTTTGACATGCGCAAAGGACATTGTCCCGCACAATTCAGTCCTCATGAGCCTGCTTGGCACCTCGATGGGTCATGCGGACCGCCATGTCTCGTGCATCTGTCAGGGTCTTGCGAGACTTCTTGCGATTCATATCCATGACAGCCCCAACGCCACACGCGTCTGACTCCATGGACGGATCGTAAAGACCCTGCTTCTTCGGAATCTGGTCCCAATGCAAAGCCATCTCCAACGGCTGACGGTGACCGGAAGAAAGGAAGAACCCTGAGGTGTTG